CCACAAGCTATGCACATGGATATGGTCTGATAGTGTGCCAGCTGTTGCCGCTGTAGAGGTAATTTCAGTTACTTTAAAGCTGGTGGTAAAGCGGGGTCACTCTTACTCTTCGCATGGTGTGTGTGTGTTTGCCCTGTGTAGCTGCACATGCGTGAGTTTGCATGCATGTCTGGGTTTTGCCTCTGGTCTTCAGGCAAGATTTATTTATTAAAACACAAATAATATATCACTATAGGAAGGTGGTTTAGATGATGCACAGACAGGGCGGTTTGTGCGTGATGGCAGGTGCATTCTCCTAGCACTAAGCACTGAATTCACATGAGACACTTGTTGATTTAGCCATTATGGCTTTGATAGAGTCATATAGCCTTTTCTATTGAATTTACCACTATTTTAAAAATGTTTTATCTTTAATTGTGTGTGTGTGTGTGTGTGTGTGTGTGTACACGTGTGTGCAGGGTGTCCTCAAAAGTCAGGAAAGGGCATCAGCTCCCTTAAAGCCGAAGTTACAGATTGTTATAAGCCACTATAGTGGTTTGAAAGAAAATAGCCCCTAAAGGGAGTGGCACTATTAGGAGGTGTTGCCTTGTTGGAGGAAGTGTGTCACTGTGGGGGCGGGCTTTGAGATCTCTTTTGCTTACACTTCCCTCAGTGTCACTGTCAGTTGACAACATGTAACACTCTCAGCTTCAGCATGACATCATGCTCCCTGTCATGATGATAATGATGGACCAAACTTCTGAAACTGTGAGTGATCCACCCCAATTAAAAGTTTCCTTTATAAGAGTTGCCATGGTCATGTGTCTCTTCACAACACTAGAGGTCAGGTAATGGTGACATACATCTTTAATCCTAGGATTTGGGAGACAGAGGCAGATGGATCTCTGTGAATTCAAAGCCACCATGAGATACACAAAATCTGTTGAAATAGGAGCAGCGGGGCTGCGTCCCCAGCACCCCAGCTGCCTGCTAGCTCATGCCCGAAATAACAACACACAAATTGTATTCTTTTAAACACTGCTTGCCCATTATATCTAGCCTCTTCTCGGCTAACTCTCGCACCTGGACTAGCCCATTTCTAATAATTGTTTGTAGCATCCCAAGGTGCGCTTACCGGGAAGATTCTAGCCTACATCCATCCTGGGTCAGAGCTGCCTGGGAGAGCATAGCCTGGCGTCTCTGCTCCAGAGAGCAGAGCAGTCGAGTCTGAGCTCACTTCCTCTTCCTCCCAGCATCCTATTCTGTTTACTCCTCCCACCTATGTTTTAACCTATCAGGGTCAAGGAGTTTCTTTATTGCTTAACCAATGAAATCAACAGATTGATATATGACACTCCACATCAAAAATCAATGCAGAAATAAATCCAGGTGGTGGTGGCTCACACCTTTAATCTCAGTACTAGGGAGTCACATGCCTTTAATCCCAGAGGATTAACTAGAGGGAATATAAAATGGGAGGAGAGAGAGGTTTAGGCTGTTTAGTTTGTAGTCGCCTGGCCTTGGTAAAGGTAAGACTTTTCTAATGGCTTTAGCTTTGCCTCTGGTCTTCAGGCAATATTTATTTATTAAAATACAAATAACATACCACTATATTCCAGCCTCATTTAGCCGCTGTGGCAAGGCACACTCAAGTCATAAACATCCATTTGTGTTCAGGCTAAGATGTGCATATGTGGATCTTCAGACCAGCAGTCGCATATGCTGAACCAGGAACTCAGTCTGTGCTCAATAAGAATTCACCTTATTCTGATGGAAGCCTAAGATTGACAACTCCTATAGCAGAGGACAGAACAGGAGTGCTAGACTCCATGGATGCCCAGCGTGCTTTAGGGCTGTCTTGGTTAAAGTTGCAATTGCTGTGAAGAGACACTATGACCATTTGGGGGTGGGGGTGTCTCAAGACAGGGTTTCACTGTGCAGCCCTGGATGTCCTGAAACTCACTCTGTAAGCCAGGCTGGCCTTGAACTCACAGAAATCCCCTACCTCCCAAGTGTTGAGATTAAAGGCGTGTGCCACCACCACCCAGCAGACCATGGTACTTTTTATAAAGGAAAACATTTAACTGTGCTGATTTACAGTTCAGAGGTTTAGTCCATTATCATCGTGGTGGGAAGCATGGCAGTGCACAGGCAGATGTGGTGTTTCTGAAACCTCAAAGCCCACCTCCAGTGACACACTTGCTCCAATATGGCCACACCTCCCAATAGTGCCTTCCCTGTGAGCCTATAGGGCCATTTTCACCCAAACCACCACAGTGGCCTTGCAGATCTTCAACACTGAGGTGGTGTCACTGCAGTCAGCAGTAGGGAGGCTCCAGCAGTCATCATCCGTGCTATCTTTCTGCTGCTGCTTTTGTCTGCTTTATTAGGGAAGAATGTTGATTACATGTATCAGTGATATCCCAAATCAAGGAGAAAAGTGATTATCTTTTTAAATTTTTAAATTCTCTTAATGCTACTAAATTTCAGCTGTTATAACTATAATTCCTTGGTTTTTACTGGTTTTTCTGTTCTGCGACAATTCCCCCTTAAATCCAGTGAAAAAGCTTATTAAAATTGTTATTAAGGTTAAAAGATGATAGCATCTGAATATTGGCTCCTTTCTCTGAAAAAGTCAATTAATTTGTACCTTTTAGGTATCCTCAAGTTATATATAGATATTGGGTTTTTTTGAGACAGGGTTTCTCTGTAGTTTTGGAGCCTGTCCTGGAACTAGCTCTTGTAGACTGTTGACCAAGATTTTCTGTCCCACCCAATCCTGCAGCTGTTAAGTCCCAAAGAAATCACACAGAAGTCTGCATTAATTGTAAACTGATTGGTCCAGTATCTCAGGCTTCTTATTAACTCTTATTACTTATATTAGCCCATAATTCTTGTCTATGTTAGCCACATGGCTTGGTACTTTTTTCGGCGAGGCAGTCACATCTTGCTTCCTCTGCAGCTGGGTCACGACTGCGGACTCAAACTTCCTTCTTCTCAGAATTCTTGTTGCCCCACCTCTACTTTCTGCCTGGTCGCCCAGCCTATACTTCCTGCCTGACTACTGGCCAATCAGCGTTTTATTAAAAATAATACAAGTAACAGGATAAAAGAAAACTGTCCCATAGAAGTAGACTAGGCTGGCCTCAAACTCACAGAGATCCTCCTGCCTCTACCTCCCAAGTGCTGGGATTAAAGGTGTGCAGCACTACTGCCCTGTATTATTTTTCTATATAAGCAACTTCCAGACTAAAGTTTTGATGAAATTTGTTAATTCATAATATTACATACTGAAGTGCAGTTAAAGTTGTTTATATCATCAACCTGGTAATATTTTTATGGATATGTCCAGGGAAACTCCCAGACGTGTATAAATTTGTTGTATACTTATCCCAGAAGAACTTATATAGTAGCTCCTCTTTATCCACAGAAGATAGTTCCAAGACCCTGTAGATGTCTGGAACTTCATATAGTACCAAACCCTATGGCATGGTGTGCTTTCTCCTATACATACATCCTATAACTTAAGTATATTAAGAGATCAACAGTAATAGAATTATTTTAGCGCTATGCTGTGTGACTTGTTCTGTCACATCTCACGATGATGCGAGAAGACAAACTGCCTCCAGGAGGAGATGAAGTAAAACCACAGTGCGCAGAGTAGTGCAGGGTTAGGCTGTTACTGCTGGGCTCTTGTTCCTTGAGTACCAGCGGTGTAGTACAAAGACAGTCGACTGTACCAGCATGGATAAATGACTGACCAGTGCTTGGATATACTAACAGGAGGATAGTTCACATCCCATGCAGTGTGAAGCAGGATAGCCAGATGCCTTCCTAATCTATAGAACAGGATGAAGTTTAAAGTTAGAAATTGTTCTTGGAGTTTTCCGTTAGTATGTTAGCATCATGGCCTTTCGTGGGTTACTGAACTGCGAAGTGGATAAGGGTTTTCTGCTATGAAGCACTGGCTGCACTCTGTCCTTAGTGGTGTATTCCTGTAGTTCCCACTCTCGGGAAGCTGAGATGGGGAGTTCAAGGACAGGGTAGTGATGTTCCATGTCAAAAAGCTTTTTTTGTTGTTGTTGTGGTAGTGGTGGTGGTGGTGGTGGTGGTGGTAGTTGCAGCTTTGGGGTTTGCTAGAGTGGTTTTTGTGTGTATTTTGGGGGGATCGAATTTTTGTTTTTGCTTTTGAGACAAGATCTTGCTTGTAGCCCAGACTGTTCTCAAACTCATGATCTTCCCCCTGCCTCCCTCCTGCACTGGGATTGCTGTGGTCTTAACCATACCACCCTGTACTCATTGTATTTGTTACTCTGACAAAATGTCTGTCAGAAGCAACTTAAGGGAAAAGGATTTGCTTTGGCTCATGGTCTGAGAGGTGTTTCGTGGCAGAGAAAACATGTTACAGTTGATGGCAATTAGATGACGGCAGGAAGTCGTCACATCCCAGTGGATCAGGAAGCTGAGAGCGCAGGCCAGGCGGCCCTCAAGGCCTGCACCATAGTCACTCATTTCTCCTCCTGGCCCCTGCCTCCTAAATGTTTTGTAGATTCATTCAAACATATGGACCCATGGAGATCATTTCATATTCAATCCATAATCCATTATTCCTGTCCCGAACTCAACCATTTAACACGTCTTGGTCTTCTATGAAGAAGACAGGACCTTGGGCTAGCAAGATGGCTCAGCAGGTAAAAGTGCTTGCTGTACAAACCTGACAACCTGAGTTTAGTGTCCAGAATCCATGTGAAGGTATAAGGGAAGACCCAGCCTCACAGAGCTATCCTCTGCCTGCCACACACTCACTGTGCATATGTGTCCCCTCCCAAAAAACGTCACCATCATAAATTAAGTAAAATAAAATTTGGAGAGGACAGGAGCACCCCATTGGAAATATTGTAAAATCACAATATATAGATTATAGATTAGTACATGGCACATGCATACTATTAGGTTACAGTTCTGCTTTCTTGATTCTCGTTGCTCTAATATTTTATAAATAAGCTGACATTCTGATCCAGTTTTTCTGTTCATACAGCAAAGATTCCAAAGGTGCAGAAGTTGTGGTTAATGAAGGTCAGTTAGCAATCCTGGGCCCCAAACCTCTCTGCTCATCAGTGCTTCCTTTGAATCTAAGCAGTCATCAGGAAGATGCAGTGCCTGCACCCTGGATGAATGGTAATACCTGTTCTCTCATTAAGATCTTGTCAGCACGAAATAGTATAGGAATTTCACAGAAGTCATTGCTACTGAAATAAAAACATCTGTATTTATGTGACAGTGGTACTGTGTGAAAAACTTAAAATATTCATACTTAATTATACTTGTATATGTTTAGGATTTGCGTTATTTTTGATAATTCACAATTCTCTTAATTCTCTAAACAAAATGAGCTCTTTGGAAGAATGAGTTTGGAAGCTTACGTTACTCTGTACAGCACACGTCTCCTCCTTCTGAACCCTCCTAGTATCCCTTCATCCCACCTGGTGTTGAAGGCCATTGCAGCCAGCCCTCAGCAGCTGTGCGTTTTATTTCAGAGCCTTCTAACTTTCATAATATAGATTGCTGTAAAGTGATAGGCAGCCTATCTTCAGCCTGCTCCAGATTATATACAGATGCTACAGAGGTAAAGTATAAACAGTTGAAAAAATATTTGTGTTAAGGAGATGGCTCATTGGGCATATGCTTGTTTCACAAATATAAGGCCAGATATGGTGGCACATGCTTTTAATTGCAGCACTTGGGAGGCAGAGGCAAATGGATCTCTGTGATCCTGGTCTAGCTTGATCCAGCTTGGTCTACATAGCAAGTTCCAAAATAGCCAGAACTAGATAATAGAGAGACCATGGCTCAAAAAAACAAAACAAACAAACAAAAAATATGAGGACCTGAATTCAGATTCCTAGCACCCATGTAGAACTTGGGCATGAAGGTGCACATCTATAAACCCAGTGCTGGGGGAGAGGAGTAGGGTGGATCCCAGGGATTCACTGGCTGCTCCGTCTTGCTGCAACAGTGAGTTTCAGGTTCAGTGAGAGACCCTGTCTCCAAAACATGAGTGGAGGACTGGAGAGATGGCTCAGCAATGAAGATACTTGTTGCTCTTGCAGAAGACCTGGGTTCCATTCTCGGCATCCACATGGTTGTTCACAACCATCTGTATCCCCAGTTCCTGAGGACCTGAAGCCGTCTTCTAACTTTCTCAGACATTAGGCACACACACAGACTTTCAGCCAAAACATTCATATACATAAAATTAAAAGAAAAACCAAAAACGAAGTAGAAGCTGGGAATGGTAGTTCCAGCACTCCAGAGAGGCAGGCTGAGCTCTGTGAGTCTTAGGTCAGCCTGGTCTACAGACTGAATTCTAGGCCATCAAGGGATACATAGTAAAATGGTGGCTCAAAAATCAGCAACAAAGAAAAATGTGGTAGAGACTGATAAAAGAAGATACCTGATGTCAACTAAGGCCACCTTGAACATGCAGAGGTAAACACACTTGTGCGTGTGTGTGTGTGTGTGTGTGTGTATACACACATATGTGTGTGTGTGTATACACATATATATATGTGTGTGTTGTCTTTAGAAAAGAATGTTTTCAAATGTCCTAGTTCTTGTTTTAAAAGACACCATTAGGCCTAGAGAGATGGCTCCATATTTAAGATCACTTACTGTTCTTTCAGAAGACCAGAGTTCAGTTCCCAGCACCCATGACGAGCAGCACACAACTATCTGTAGCTCCAGCTCCAGAGTATCCAAGGCAACACACTCATATAGACACCCACATGCAGACACATACATTGCACACAATTAAAAACATTGAAACTAAAGTTTTAGAAAACACCATTAAAGAGTACACTGTCTGCTGTGCTCATCAGCGGAGAGTAATTTAACAAAGAACCACAGACTAGGGTGGCTAAATAGAGATTCTTTCTGATGATTGTGGAATGCTAGCAGGTTGGGTTTCTGAGGATCCTGTTTATGTCTCAAAAGTTCGTGTATCTCTTTCTCTGAGTGTATAAAGAGAATATCTATGCTAATAGGGCCACTGGCTTCATTGAGGATTAGGAGTTCAGGCTATGAATCTTTCAGAGACCCAAACAATTTCCTAGTATGTATTCAAACCACCACAAGTACTCTCCTTTGACCTCCTAGGGCAGCAGACATTGCAGATGTTGCACAGACACATAAAATAAAATTATTCTTTTTTAATTTTTAAAAAATAAAGAGTAGTCGCCGGGCGATGGTGGCGCACGCCTTTAATCCCAGCACTCGGGAGGCAGAGGCAGGCGAATCTCTGTGAGTTCAAGACCAGCCTGGTCTACA